GATTTCAGGAGATTGTTTGAGGCAGAATATAGAATAGTTGATCGTCCATGAAAAGATTCAAGTTTATTAGTTTGCAACAGGGGGTAATTCAATGAAAGAATATTCAGTGAATTCATTTCCTGCAAGGTCTGGCCAGGAGTAGTGAGTACACCAGAGTTAGAGAGATAAATTTGTGCATGGGCTAAAACCAAAAATAGCCCGAATGTGATGGCCGTTGCCCAACCCCCTCAGACATACGTGAAGCTTTGGAACGAGCTTTATGGGCCGAAATATTTGTGAATAGCTAACTCTGAAGCCCCATCAGCATTAGCCCCTAGTGTTCCACCTCTTGCTCCACAAAGAGATATGATGCCCTTACGAACAAGAGGTAGAAATAAGAAAAAGTATCAACCTGGGAAAGCCAATGTAGTAGCCGAGCCTTGAGTAGAAAAGTTACTTGTCCCGATTCACAAGGCAGAAGAATTAATAGAAGAATTGTGCAAAGAAAAGATTGAGGTCATACTAGGAAGGATGCCAGGTTAGAGGTTCAGTCTACATTACTGGAAGAAATCAGAGAAAAGCACTGCTGATGAGTGGTGTCAGAAAATAAGTCAACAAGTGCTTGAGGGTAAATCCAGATTTCCATCTGTTAGATGGTTGTAGTGTGTTTGTGCATTCCTCAAGATGATGAGTTAAAGAAGAGAATTCTTACAGAGGCTCATGACACACCATACACTGCTCATCCTGGAGCACCCAAGATGTATCAAGACTTAAAGAAATGTTATTGGTGGCCAGGTATGAAGAAGGATATTGGAGATTTTGTAGCTAAGTGCCTGGTTTGTCAACAAGTGAACAGAACACACAAGGCCATCAGGGTTGCTTCAACTACTTAGTATTCCTGAATGGAAATGGGAGAGTATTTCGATGGATTTTATTACAGGTCTCCCTAGAGTGCAGAAAGAGTTTAATGCTATATGGTGATAATAGACAGATTGTCCAAGTCAACCATTTTCTTCCAGTCAAGAGAGCACTACTTCGGATCAGTTGGCCTAGATTTACATTAAAGAGATAGTGAGACTACATGGAGTACCTAATACAATAGTAACAGATAGAGATTCCAAATTTGTCTCTAACTTTCTGACTAATTATACGAGGAACTTGGGTCCAGATTCTTTGAGTACCCCTACCATCCTCAAACAGATGGCCAGACAGAGAGAACAATCAGATACTTGAGGATATGTTGAGGGCTTGTTGCATGGATTACGATTCCTGGCATGAGATGTTACCGTTAGTGGAGTTTGCTTATATAACAGTTTTTAGTCTACAATTAGATGACTCCTTACGAGGCTTTGTATGGTAGACGTTGTAGATCTCCACTACATTGGGATGAGATAGACGAGAAAGATGAGTTGAATACCACTCTTTGGGCCAGAACTAACTCAGAAAATGATAGAGAGTCAAGTTAATCAGAGTAGAATGAAACAAGCCCAAGAGGCAGAAAGTTATGCAGACTTGAAGAGGAAAGTTTGAATTCGAAAGGTGATAAAGTGTTTCTAAGAGTTGCCCCCTACAAACGGGTGATGCGTTCCGGTAGCAAGGGAAAGTTAGCACCGAGATACATGGTCCATTTGAAGTATTACAGCGATGGAAAGGTAGCCTATAGGTTGGCTCTACCACCCAACATGGATAGAGTACACAATGTATTTCATGTCTCATGCTTGGAAATATGTAAGTGATCCCTCCCACATATTAAGTGTAGACGATGTGGACTTAGAAGAAAATCTTGTGTATGAGAGCTGTCCAGTTCAGATATTGGACAGAAAGATTAAAGAGCTCCGAAACAAGAGTATCCCTTTAGTGAAAGTCTTTTGGAGAAATCATAAAGTTGAAAAGCTACATGGAGGTGGAAAGACAGCAGAACCGTTACCCGAAGTTGTTTGTTTGAATTTCGGAAGAAATTCTTTTAAGAGAGGGAGAATTGTAATACCCACATGGAGGTAGTATTTAATTTATGTTCTTATGCCTTTAGTTGATTTTTGCTAAGGTTATTTTAAGGAAATGTGAAGAAAATGCCTTAAACTTGCATTAAGGGTAAATGGTCTTTTCACCAAAATTAGTTGATTGTGGGGAGTGAAAAGAGATAGAATTTCATGGAGAATGCAATAAAAATGAGGGCATTATGGTAATTGATAGGGACATAGATAAAATTTTAAAGAAAGGCAAAGGGCAAAATGGGAAACTAATATATAATTTTTATGTTATATCAAATTGAAGAGTGAAACCCTAGCCACTCATACCCATATGCACGCCACTTTCACCTCCATATTCTCTCAAATTCTTCAATTCTTCTTCAAAGGAAATTCAAAGGTTTTGGGTGTTTTTAGTGGATTTTCAACCTTAAGCTTCTATAGGTAAGATCCTTGCACTAGAAGTGAATTTTAGTTTTTAAAGTGTTGATTTTGATGGTTTTGGCTCATAGGATTTAAGAGGAAGAGAGTTTGATCAAAGGAGATTCTTAAAGGGTTGAATTTGCTCATATCAAAAGTAAGTAAATCCTACCCTATGTGTGATTTAAGTTATGTTGTTATATAGAATTTTCTTTGTGCATTATATATGTTATATGTGGAATTGTTGATGGATTTGCGTGTTGATAATAATTAGAATCTATCCATGGGAAGTTGGGTTGGTGTATGTGATACTTGATGAATGTTTGGTTGGATTTGAAGAGTTGAAGTGAAAATTTTGAGTGTGTATTTTGGGCAATTTGGAGTTAATTATGGAGGAGTTTATTCCAAGTTTTTGGTGGCCTAAAATAGAGATAAGTATAGCCAAATTAGTGTTGATTTGTGCATGTTGTTTGATGAAATGCCAAGGAGAAGTGCATGTGAGTATGATTATGTGTTACCTTGGGATGTGTTTGTAGATGGTAGAGATGACATGTTGGCATTCCATAATGCATAATTGCATTTAATATGTAAATTAGAAAGAATTATACACATGAAACCATCTACATGCATATACATTCATAAGAGCATGAAAGCCCTAAATATGTTACAGAAAATATAAATAAATGAGAATATTAAGTATTCAAATCTGAAATTTTACCTAAGAATGTTAAAAAAAAAAAAAAAAAAAAAAGTTGTTGCGATGGGGAGCCCGTGGTGACATAGTCCCACATGCACGCCACCTTTAGTGGGCGACCTCAAAATTCAAAAGAAGAAATGTAGTCTGTTAGAAGTGTGGGGGATGAGGACTGTACCCAATTAGAGAATTCACTCACACGACCAGGACTCCAAATCCATGCCTCAACCGAGTCCGATCGGCAGAAAAGAAAGAAAAATGAAAGAATATAAAGAAAAATAAATAAAGAAAGAAACAAAAAAAACAGAATAAGAAAATAGAAAAGAAATGCTATTTATGCATTTGCATCATGAATATGCTAATACCATGCTCATTATCATGGTAGTGAAAAATTTAGAAAACAGAGAGCAAAATAGAGAAAGAATAAAAAGAACGAGAAGAACAGAGAGAAGAACATGGAAAGAATAGAGAATAATCAGGAAATGTGATGTAAGGAAAGAAAATTCGGAATTAAAGCGCGCGAGAGAAGATAGCATAGTGGGTTTACTTACTGAGCTTATGAGTGCTCACTCTGTTGTTTTTAATGTTTTTTGCAGGTAATAGGTGAGTTGCGGTTGCACAGAACATGCGCAGTGGATGGGTTGGCTACTATCACTTTGCTATTTTGAGTATATTTTGTAAATATTTGTATATAAAGAAAATTCAATATGGGCCCATACTTTATTACTCTTATATATGTGTATTTTCTTATATATTGTTAATGGATTTATTATTTATTAATATTTTTCCGATCACTAGCTAGAAAAAGCTATCAAAGAGAGATGAAGAAGATGAAGACAAAAGAGGAGAGGAGAGAGGATTTTGATCTGGCCAGCTTCTAGTCCATGTTCCGGTGCTAGGTTCTTGCCTATTGACCGAGGAAAAAGAGGGAGAAAAAGGAAAGAAGAGAAAGGGGGAGGATAAGAGAGAGAAGGGGAAAAGAGAAGAAAGAGATTTGGACAGATTTTTTAATGTTTTCTTAATGCAAATCCTTTTTTTTTTTTTTTTTAACTTTTTATTTTTTTACGACAAACCCTTAAAGTCAAATTACCCTACAATGTGATAGAATACCAATATACCATTTTAGTTAAATTTTACTAATGGATTTGGACGGAAGTGTGGTTATTGTCATTTCAAATTTTTTGGGTATCAAATTGTCTTTACAACAACTCTGAGTAGGTGTAATTCGTTCTCCTTACAAGATATAGTTGGTTATCCTCTGAATTTGAAGTTTGAACCTACACTTTTTTAATTAGTTTCTGAGCTTAGTTGAGAGATAGTTCTCTGCAAAATTAAGTGTCTTCAGACTGATTAGGGGGAAGTAGAACTTTTCTACCTTACCTAAACAAGCTTGGGATAATTTTTAGGCACCCCTACCCACATAATAATTTATGTAGACTTAGATCAAGTCCCTTAATTTAGGGATATTTTAGGAAACTAAATTTTTGTATGTATAAAAAGTATTCAGATTTTAGAATTAAGTTAAGAAATTTTACTTTTTCTATTCAGTCAAGATTTCTAAAAATAAGTTATAATTTGAAAAAAAAAAGAACCTAAAAAAAAAAGAACCTTTAATTCTCATTAGATTTAAGATTTAAGTGGGAAAAACAAACACACCTAAGTCTTTAATGAAAAAAAATAAAACATCTCTTACTGTGTCACTTGAAATGATGCTCAACTAATAGCCTTAATGTAATCTGATAATAATTAGTAGCATCTAATAATAATTTATTCTCTACCCGCTATTCAAATTAATTAAATTAGTGTTACTTGAACTGATGCCTCAACTAATACACTTAAATCTTATAATGTGGTAATATCCACTCGTCAAAGCACATACTACCTAATTTTCGTTATAAAGTGTGAGCTTCAAGTCCTCCATTTTATGCACAATCACACACACCACTAAAAGAGAAAGATGTCAAATTCAAGCAGCAAAAGTGTTCATATTCTGATGATCCCATTCCCAGCCTCCGGTCACATTCTTCCTCTTCTTGACTTGACTCACCAGCTAGCCATTAGAGGCCTTCAAATGACCATTTTTGTAACTCCCAAAAATCTTCATTATCTAAATCCTCTCCTTTCTCTTCATCCCTCCATTGAAACCCTAGTTTTACCCTTCCCTTTTCACCCTTCAATCCCCAATGGCGTTGAGAATCTGCAGGATGTCACTGTAGATTATTTACCTCAACTAGTTACTGCTTTGAGAGAACTCTGTGATCCTATTTCTCATTGGTTTCAAACTCACTCTTCTCCTCCTGTGGCCATCATCTTCGATGTTCTTATGAGTTCGTTTGCTCATCGTTTGGTTCCGAATTTGGGCGTTAAACGCATCGTGTTTTGTCCGATTAATGCGAACGCTTTGTCTTCTTTTTGGTCTAATGATATAAGAAACATAACCGAATTTCAAAGGGAAACAAGAATAAAAGACCAGCAAAGCTGGGGGTTGGTTTTTAATTCATTTATTGAGCTAGAGAGCGAGAAATTTGATTTATTTGTTAAATTGTTCATGACGCATGATCGTATTTGGGGAGTGGGGCCATTGCTACCAATCAAAGCTGGTCCAGAACGAGGAGGGGCTAGTTCAATCCCAACAGAGGAGGTGATCACATGGCTTGACTCCTGCCGCGTGGACAATTCAGTAGTGTATGTGGGATTCGGAAGCCAGATCACATTGAACAAGATACAAATGGAAGCGTTAGCTGAGGCATTGGAGAAGAGTGGAGTTAAATTTATATGGGTTGTGAAAGATCCGGTGAAAGGAGGGAAGGATGATGATCAGAGTATTGTTCCGATTGGATTCGATGATCGTGTGGCTGGGAGAGGACTCGTGATTAGAGGGTGGGCTCCACAATCGATGATACTTAAGCACCAAGCCGTTGGATCATACTTGACTCATTTGGGATGGGGCTCGGTGCTTGAGGGTCTGTTGGGAGAGGTTTTATTGCTGGCATGGCCAATGCAAGCTGATCATTTCTTTAACGCAAAACAACTTGTGGATGAATTGGGTGTAGCTATTAGAGTTTGTGAGGGATTGAGTACGATTCCTGACTCAACGAATCTTGCTCAAATCTTGAAAGAATCGGTGAGGGAGAATCGGCCTGAAAGAATTTCATTTATGAAGCTACGAGAGAAAGCTTTAAATGCTATCAAAGAAGGTGGGAGTTCTTACAAGGCTTTAGATGATTTAGCCAGACTTATTTCCACCTTATGCCTTTGATGCCGTATTCTTTTACTTGATAGAAATGTGAAGTTTTCAATAATTCTTGATTTGAATGGAAATTAATGTAATCAAATATTAATTCATTTTGAATCTTATTCATTGGTTTGAGTTTGCAAGATATTACAATTTTGTAATATTTCACTTGGAGAGTTATAAATTTTAACCATAAAATTTATATTAAAAAAAAAAAAAAAAAAGGGAATCAAGAAAAGGCAGTGACGTTCTGACTTCATTGTAGACCAGCCCAAAATTCGTTACATATTATATATATTTTTGATCTTTTATGATGCGGACTTAATAACAAACAATTTTATTGTCGGATTGGTGATAAAAGCAAAGAATCAATAATTATATATGTATCTTTCATTTTAGAATAATGAACTTGTTTTCTAGTGAATTAACAATCATTTTCCACGTTGGATTAGGTGGGAGAGATTATCCTCATTTTGTTTAGAGCTAGAAAAATCAACTGACTTAATAATTTCAGGATGTTCACATTAATTATTGAATATGCTGACATGAGATTTCGCACCAAAGTTGGAATTCTCGAAGTTTTTTAACTTGACCAAAGACATTAGACATGCATACCTATACATACCACACACACACACACACACACACATGTTTATTCTTTAAATAGGATTTTAAAATAAACTTCTTTCCTAGGTATGCGTTTTCTAGGTTCTCAATGGCCAAGGGATACTTAGGAAATACTAGGAAGGGGTTTTACAGTTGGTATCAGAGCGTGATTTTGGGTGTTCGAAATGATGTTTTGATTGAATTGTTATAGTTATTTTATATTTAATTGATGTTGGTAATGGTGTTTGTAAGTAATGGAAGTATCATTGCCCATGCGTCCCCAAGATACTCTCTCCAACCGATTGCTGTTAGTATTTTCTTTACTGTTTAGTGAATAGAATTAGCTAACATTGATTGAATTTTTTGTGAGTAAAGGGTATGGCTACGAGGCGTTCACAAAAGGTTAATAGGAGGGGTGAGGAGAATGTCAATGAAGAGGGCACTAGTGAGCCAGTAGCCCTGACTACCAATGCGCCCCCTATACGTCTACCCAAAATGCTTCTGTTTTGGATGAGGCTGCAATCAACAGGATGATTCAGGCAGTTATTACTGAGGCCTTTAAGAGGGTTATCCCGGAGAGTATAAGTAACCAAGTGAACACAAATCCCTCATCTCCAGTAGTTCAGCCTCAGCAACATTTTTTCTTTTTAATTTCTAAACTATAATAAGTTCATTGTACAAGTCAAATAATATAGTTTCCGTTCTTGGAGTAAATTATGAAATTCATAGTAATAATTACTAGAACATACGCATTTTTACAAAATTTACTAGCAATTTGATTTCAATAGTCATCATTAAAACATCCCTTCATGCTCATAGCGTCCCTCGGAATCCTCTCCCAGCTTCATGCCTTAATCCTTACCTACAAAACATTTTAAAACAATTTGTGGGGTGAACGCTAATCGCTCAGTAAAGGAATATGGCCATTTAAAAACTATTCAGGTTCATTATATAAGTATATTACTTAGGACTTTACCTACCTACAAGACATGACCGTCATTCATTGACATTAACACGTTCATAAAACATATCATACACTTTGGACTTTTCTCATAAACATAAGTCATAACATAACCATATATAATATAATATAGAACATATATGACTTATGCAATATTCATAAACATGGCATGCTTATTTCTTTTGTCTTTATACTTGATGTTTTCATTAATCTTTATTATTCGATCNCATGCTCATAACGTCTCTCGGAATCCTCTCCTAGCTTCATGCCTTAATCCTTACCTGCAAAACATTTTAAAACATTTCATGGGGTAAGCGCTAATCGCTCAGTAAGGGAATATGGCCATTTAAAGACTATTCAAGTTCATTATACAAGTATATTACTTAGGACTTTACCTACCTACAAGACATGGTCATCATTCATTGACATTAACACGTTCATAAAACATATCATACACTTTGGACTTTTCTCATAAACATAAGTCATAACATAACCATACATAATATAACATAGAACATATATGACTTATGCAATATTCATAAACATGGCATGCTTATTTCTTTTGTCTTTATATTTGATGTTTTCATTAGTCTTTATTATCCGATCAGATTCATTTGAACCATTACCTTGTTTTTGGTCGTCACCTCAAAGGACTCATGGTTTCCACGAAGATTCCATTCCTCTGATCTTGGTTTATACATCAAGAGACTCATGGAATTCATTCCTTAAAATTTAATAAATGTTTTCATAAGTCAACTAAATAAGCTATATGCATTATCATTATGACTGCAAACATATGGGATAACATCTCTCATGCTCAATCATACTATTCATTCATTTAACATGTAACCTTGGCCAATTGCACAACTCATCAATCAATTTAGCAAATCTCCATGACATGAATATTCTCCTACTAAATTCATTAATTTAAGTAATTCAATTTCTCATACAACATAAGGAATTTAAATAGTAGGTTTATTCAGTGGATTATTAGAATTTATAGAAAAAAAAAAGGGAATTCTATTTGAGGAGGTGGATGTCATACAGTTCATCACTATTCAATCAATTTTTTCCTCATCTTCCAATTCGAATTAATTTTTGGCTAAAACACAAAAGTTTTAGGTCTATTTCTTAAGTTTTTAATACTTCAAGAATCAGCTCAATCAAACTTTTATAACTTTAGTTATGACTAATTCAGTGAAGCACGTACATTATAAGTCTTAAAAAGCCAAATCCGAATTCTATTCATTTTTAACCATCTCACCTTCATTTGCACATTCATAGTATCTGCCATATCATTCTAAGTATAAAAGGCCATAAAAACCTCCCTTTTTACAGAACCAAAAAGTGCCAAAACATCATCCAACTATAAATCTCTTAATTGGCATAATCATCCTCCATATACACACATACACCAATCAACAAACCCATTTACACCATCCATAACCAAAACATAGCATCACACTCAAATTAACATAAATAAATGTAAGTTTTATCAACCCTAGGTGTTATCAATTGTAGTCATAAGGGAGATTTTTTCCTTACCTTAATATTCAAAGCACAAAGACACTCCTCCTTAGCTCTAAAGGTTCACCCTTTCTACCTTACACGCATAATCACTTATGAATTTCTCTTTTAACTAAAAATCAGAACAACTAGGGTTTTGAAACTCACCTTAAACCCTGAAATTGAAGTTCTTAAAGTGTGGATGATGATCTCCTTCGAAATTCAACTTGAAATCCTATGAAAATTTGAGAATAAAATGCTTGGATTAGTAGCTTTTATGGTGGATTTGAGAGATGAAGAAGAAGATGATGCATTTGGGGTGTACAAGGCCGACTCCTCTCTCTTAAAACCTTGTAGATATTTATTTCATTATTACTCTATTATGATTGGTCATGAATGATATTTTTATTAAATATTCTTTAGAATATTCTCTTTCTCTTTCTTTTATGATAATAATCAACAATTAATTTACAATCCTTTGCCATGTGTCCCGATTGTTTACAGTCGAACCTCCAATAGTTTAAAGGGAAGTAACCTAAGTAACTTTACAGTCCTTTGCCATGTGTCCTTGTTGTTTACATTTGAAACACACATTGGTCCCTACTAGACAATTCCCTTTATGCTGCCTCCCACATTTTTGACAATGGGGAAGATTATTCCTTCTCTGTTGTTGTTGTGGAGTCCTTTTATTCTTACCACCCTTCTTTTGAAATCCTTGCTAAAACTTTCTTTTACCTTTGTCCTCCGAGACTTGTGTGGATTTCCCTACTTCGACTTTCTGAACTGCTGTCTTGCCCGAACTAGAACTACCAATCACCAACTTGGGGTTCTTCATCCGCCTCTCCTTATTTACATAAATCTCTGCTCTTAATGCCCGTTCCCGGGCCTCACTATAAGTCTGGGGAGGCTGACCACCCGCTATAATAATCTGGGCAATTTTTTGATGTAATCCATTAACAAATCTCTCTAACCAGCACTGCTGAGTACTCACCCTAGTAGGAGCAAAACAGGCTAAGGAGTTGAACATTATAGCATACTCTCTAACAGTCATATTACCCTTCTTCAATTCCGTGAACTCTTGAGTCTTCACAGATAACATGTCCGCCGACCGGTATTCTGCTTCAAATAGCCTTTTGAATTCATTCCAAGAAAGAGCACTCGTCACATAGGTATGCTCCATTAGCTTCCACCATACCTGGGCATCTCCTCTCAGCAAATAGGAAGCATAGCGAACTTTTTCCTAGTCACTAATGGGACACAAGGCCATTGCTCGATCGACAGTCTCTAACCACTCCTCTATCCCCGCCGGATCGTTTGAACCACTGAACTCTTGAGGTTGGTGCTTTTGAGAAAGATTATAGATTGGTTCCACTTGTCCAGAAGGTGTAGCACCCATCGGCATAACTGGTATGGTTACTGGAGGTGGAATTTGTATTTGGAACTAAGGCTGAACTACTAGAGCTAAGGGATTTGTGTTCACTTAGTTATTTATACTCTCTGGGATAGCCCTCCTAAACGCCTCAGTAATTGCTGCCTGAATCATCTTGTTGATTGCAGCCTTATCCAAAATAGAAGCATTTTGGGTAGACGTAGGTGGTCCACTATTAGGGGGCGCATTGATAGTCGGTGCTACTGGCTCGTTAGTGCCCTCTTCATTGACATTCTCCTCGCCCCTCCTATTAACCTTTCGTAAATGCCTCGTAGCCATACCCTTTACTCACACAAATTTCAATCAATGTTGGCTAATTCTATTCACTAAGCAAGTAAAGAAAATACTTAGAGCAATCGGTTTGAGAGAGTATCTTGGGGTCGCGTAAGGAATGATACTTCCATTACTTACAAACACCATTACCAACATCAATTAAAAATAAAATATCTATAATAATTCAATCAAAACATCATTTCAAACACCCAAAATCGCGCTCTGATATCAACTTTAAAACCCCTCCCTAGCTGGGTATTTCGTAAGTATCCCTTGGCCATTGAGAACCTAGAAAACACATGCCTAGGAAAGAAGTTTATTTTAAAATCCTATTTAAATAATAAACTTGTAGTTTAAAAATATATATTTTTTAATTTAATTTCTAAGTTATAATAAGTTCATTGTACAAGTCAAAAAATATAGTTTCATAAACCCTAGGTGTTATCAATATTAGTCATAAGGGAGATTTTTTCCTTACCTAGTATTCAAAGCACAAAGACACTCTTCCTTAGCTGAACCCGAATCATACACAAGCATTCTATTAGTCTCCCGAATGCACTATTCGACAAGATGTGCAAGATATTCGTGGTGGATGGCACTAATGATTCTTCTCTTTCTGAAATTTGCTCCTTCAGTCTCCATTAGCTCTTTGCTTTTTTATTTAGAAAAGAGGCACACTTAGATCATCTTTAACCCATTGCACCAAATGGTGCAAGTTTCACACCAATTGGTGTGATTTTTGCTGTAAAACACTATTGTATCTCCAACCTACTACATCAATATACACCAAAAGAATATTCTTAGAATATTCTTTAAAATATTCTTAGATATTCTTTTCTCTTTCTTTTATGGTAATAATCAACAATTAATTTATTTCACTCATAGAATATTCTTTAAAATATTCTTTGAAATTCTCTTTCTTTTTCTTTTATGGTAATAATCAACAATTAATTTATTTCACTCATTATTTTTGTATTATTAATTAATATTGGAATGATATTTTTATAAATATTCTTAGAATATTTCTTTCTCTTTTTTTATGGTATAATCAACAATTAATTATTTCACCATTAGATATCTCTCTTCTTTTTCTTTTATGGTAATAATCAACAATTAATTTATCTTACTCATTATTTTGTATATATAATTAAATATTGGGATTGATATTTTTATAAATAATACTTACTTTGAAAATTATACAATTAATAAAATTAAGCATTTATTTAATCAAATATTAGTTGAATGATTTGGATAGTTGTTTGGTATGAGCTTTTATAGTTGAAGAAAATACTATTCTAGATAAAAATAATAATTCAAAAATGTTTTGTCCATTCAAGCTTTTGAGATTTGTGGCTTATTCAAAAAGATGTATTGTCCATTAAGCTTTTGAGATTTGTGGATTATTCAAAAAGATGTATTGTCCATTCAAGTTTTGAGATTTGTGCTATTTTAAAAAGATGTTGTCAATTCAAACTTTTTAGATTTGTGGCTTATTTCAAAAAGATGTATTGTCCATTCAAGCTTTTGAGATTTGGGTATTCAAAAGTGTATTGTCCATAAGCTTTTGAGATTTGGGGTTTATTCGAAAAGATGTTATAAAAGAGCATACGACACATTAGTTTTTCATCACATCTCTCTATTTCCTCTAGAAAAAAAATCATATATCTTCTTCATTTGTGTTACAAAAGACTACACACGAAGTTCTTCATACAAAATGAAGAAGACATGCATCTTTTCATATTTCTTGATGTTTCTCAAAACCGATTTTAGGTATAAACAATCTAGTGATCAATTCTGGTCTCGAGTTGAGCTTGACTACAATAGTTCCAAACCCGTGTTTCTACTCAGGTTCAAAACAAAGATCTTTACATTGTCAATGCATCTGTCTTAGAGATTGGCAAAGTGAGGGGATGCGTACATCAAATTGAAAAACGAATCCAAGTGGTGCTTCTGAGCAAGATATTGTGAGTATTTGTTACTTTATTAATTTTTTTATCTAATTGATTTAACTTATATGTACATGTTTGTAGATGATCAAGCCAAAATGTTACTAGCACAAGATAAAAGTTACAAGAAAGGTTTCAGATTTGATCTGTGGGCCTATACTTAAGGATTGAAAAATTTACAATGTTAACGCAGAAGTATTTCAAGGCAAAAGGTAGGTTTGTATCACAAATCAGAGACTCCCACTTCAAGTCTTCCAATCGGTGCTTTTGAATGTCGTCAAATTCTTTAAACATAAATGATGAAAATATTGGGTAGTTCAGCTCAACACCCATTGGGTGAAGAAAGCAAAATTAAAAGGAAAAATTATAAAGAAGTTTTAACAGTTTTGAAACATTCAAGAAGAAATTGACAGCTCACTGATATTCAATAGGGGAACTCAGATAGGGCACAAATTATGAAATCCAAATGAAAAAATTGGCTGGCAGAATATCAAGAAGAACAAATTTTATTCAAGGATTTTAAATCCATAACGATCCAAGCCTACGTGAGTTTTTTCAAATGAGCAATCAAGAATTACACAAAAAGGCTCAACAACAGGTCAAGACCTCAAAAACTCTAATTCTTTCCAATATTTTGATGATCTTACAGGATTCGGAACTAATCTACGGAATACTTAGTTATTTAGTTTATGTTGTATTTTTTTTAATTTTATGTTTTTAAATTAGTTAATTTTATTTTAGTTATTTAGTTAATATTGCATTGAATAAGTTGTTTTTAATTTTTCATATTTTTGATTAATCATTATTTGAATTATTATATAAATATAAATGAATAATAATCAAATTAACTTAAATACAAATAAAAAAAAAAAAAATTATAGAACAGTACACGCCAATTTGGTGTGGATGAACAGTTCTGCCCCAAATTTGGCTGGCCTGTTCAGCCGACCAAATTGTGTGCCAAATGGCCTGCATTGGAGCAGCAGTTTCAGCTTTTGGTTTTTTTTCACACCAAAATAGCGTGGGTTGGAGATGCCTTTGGATTCATTAACATGTAAAACGGTTAAACTATAGATTTAAACACATGTGGGTAAAATATATTAACGTTTGTTTAAATTGAAATTGAAAACGAGCCCCCACCCTTAAAACGCTTAATCGAGCATATACCCAAAAAAGACTGACAACACATTTGTTTCTCGGTATTTTGCGACGACAATGCCCTAATTCGACAATATTTGATCCTAAAGCTTCCTTACACAAAAACATGGCTGATATTCATAAAGAAGAGGAAAACCTACCCCACTCCGAATCCTGACTCCGCGGCCCAGCAATTCAAAGGTGTGAAGAAGATGCGATCACCAATGAGAAGATCAGATCATCGAAGAATTCCTATGAAGTAATGTTAATTGGAATAACATTCATAGTAAGCATGCTGAATTCTCATTGAATATCATGTGATGGTATTAGTGTGGTGATTAAAGAGGGGTGCACTAAGACATTAGATGGATAAATGTTAGTGAACTATTTTCGAAAATGACAGATTAGATGAATCACATGGACTGGTCAATGATGCATCGTAGGATCGTGTCGTGACCATGATCCTTAGACCTGAGACACACGGTTGAATTCACAAGGATGCATAGGTATATAGAGTATAAGCACAGACTAGTCAGTCTTTGTAATAAGCCAGTTTGTCATATGTATTCATGTGCGGGGACAAGGATGGTCAAGATGGGATCTTAACTAAAATATCCAATCTCGAGTTCCTAGACGAATGTCAATAAACATTGGAAAAGGAAATCTCTGGCAAGTATAATGAATGTAGATGAAAAGTAGTTTCATGTTGACGAGTTCCATTGTATCGATTAATTGATTAAAGATTAAGTTAAGGGTTTTGACATACCATGAACCATTCTTAATTGGATTAGATACAGAGGGATTTTACTACACGATACGTACGATAGAATGTGTCATTGGAGTTTACAATTCATTATGGTTTAGGGGTTATGGAACATTGCTGAAGTCTACATAATTAGTGGAGTTTCGATTATAAAGAGTTATAGAAAATATATAGGCCCATGGCTAGATCACAGTGACCAAAATGGTCACACTTAAAAATGCACAAAATGTGTGACACTTTCTAAATCCACATTAATAAATCACTAATTCCATATAATTTATCGATTATTATTCAGAAGGAATGAATTCAGAAATATTAATCACAATTTCTCTAATTTTAATTTTTTAACCATAAGTGACATCTAATCACAGAAGGACATACTATGTAAATGGAAGTGCAGATTTTTGTTGAAACGAACTCATACACAGAATTCTCTTAGTCTCCGAATGCACTATCCGACAAGATGTACAAGATATTCTGGTGGATACCACTAATGATTTCTATCTCTTTCCAAATTCTTCTCCTCCAGTCTCCATCAGCTCTTTGCTTTTTTATAGCAACAGTTCCCATCTCGAAGGACTCCTATAGACAATGCCAAAAGACACTTCACCAAGTACTTTGTTTTGGAGAAA